CAAGCTACACGTATAACTTTAGTCATTGTCTAATTTAAGTAGTCCGCTATGCAGGTGTTAGACCACCTGTTAGTACTACACTATGCTGCTATACCTGTAACCTGCCTGTTCTTTTGGACACGACTAATGGTTGTATCCAACGCTGTTCAAATAATACAAAAAGACAAAGGCCTTTAACGCAACTGGCGGGAACATGGGAAATAGATAAGGATATATTTTTAGAATTGAAGGAGAAAAATAAACTACACTCATTAGGAGTCTGCTACGCTCACTTCATGTTTGACCAGAAATCACTTCACAATTCATATGATAATATTAACGTTAAAAAATTATGTCCAATTAAAAAAAGTTGGATTTACACTCGCCGCTGTTTATTTTGCAGCAAGTATAGAATTTTTTTTAGTCGTGGCGAAACCTGCATTCAGCATTCTGTACGTATAGGCAATCGGAATATTCAAGCACCTTGCATTGGTCTAAAGGTTTGCTCTGTTTTTCCTTCTAAAGAATTGCAAGAGAATAATTTTAGTGATAACAAGTCTTATGAATACCGACCACGCTTTATATGTTCTGAATGTTTTAATTCAGAGGGTGGACAGCTTTTTGAAAGGAATAAACGGGGCAATAAACCTCTCTTTTCATGTGATAATAAGCACAGTAACGATGTTACTGAAGCACTTAAACTTATGGGGCAATGGATATTAAATGTTTCAGAATCTACGGATCAGAAATATAAAAAAGTAATTTTGTCTCACTTAAGTACAATGCTAACAATGAATGATATAACAAATAGCGATATACACTCTATTGATTCACCAAGCCTTTTATTCATTAAAGCTGCCCTAAGATTGAATCATGTTGATCTTATGAAGATTAAAGACAACGATTATAGCTTTACTATGGAAACATCAACCAAAGTTGGGGAGGCATTCGGAATGACAATATGGAGGTCACGTTCTGAAGTAAGAAAAAATAAAAAAAAACTTGAAGAACCAACCTCATTAGAGGATTATCAAAGTAGATTTCCCGGTTTCTTATCAAGGTTTTTTAAGGGACTATTTGTTACTCTATTAAGAAAGAAACACGAAGCTGTTATAAAAAAAAGGAAGCAAAGAGGTTTAGTAGAAAAAACTTTTGATATAACCCGAGCAAATAAAATATCAATATTCTTCATGTCTATAATATTAAATATAGCATTTCCTGGTACGAATATATGGCTGACGCATTTAATGAGTTCGTTGTGTCGTAAACCAAAATTATTATCTTCGCTGTATAGTATTTTGTGCGCAGCAAATATTGTATCACACACACAGCGATACGAACAACAATTAGAAAAAAATCGAATAAAAGAAGCCCATCCAGAAAGTAAATTGTGGAAATGTACAGATGCAAGTACGAGTATATGGAACGTCGCGGTAATAGATAATATTGATTTTCTGGAGAAGACATTCGCATATGGGAACATTTTCGATATTACACGTAATTCCGCTCATGCCACCTTAAGGATGGTCTTCCAGTTTGTTTTACCAATTCAAAAGTCTTTTGGTTCCACGAATAATAACAATATAACTGAAAGACAAACCATTTTTGGTCCATCAATTTTTACTAATGAACTTATTCTAAAATTTGAAAAAATTTTTCGTGATTTTCTAAACACTCAATTAGAGAATTGGAATGCAAATGATCTCCTTAACGAAATTTCCCAACAAACAAAAATAGAATGTCAAGTTTCACGACCTAATGTTGTGATCCTTCGACCTGGGGACAACCCAAATTGTAACGAGAACGTTCACCATGCATGTGACATGTATTATAATGATTTAGGTGTAGAGGATAAGGATTGTTTGTATGTAGTTGGTGACGAAGCTATATTTCGTCGTTTAATACCATATAAAGAAAACAAAAAAAAAATAGCATTACTTTTAGGCCAATGGCACACGTCAAAAGAAATGTGCAATATATTGATAACTATTTTTTCGGGATACGGAATTTTCAATTTGGCAGCTAGTCTTGGTGTAAAGTATTTGGATAAACTAGAGAAAGTGGTGGACTATCAGGCAACGTGTCGTGTCCTTGAATTAATTTGGGTAGCTGTAGGAATAGCAATTAGTCAGTATTTAACAAATAGAAATGAAGAAATGAGTAATATTGAAAGTAGTAATAATAAGGTATTAAAAGTTTGGTATTGTTATTTCAAATGGGCTGGATACTGGGTCGGTCATAAAGTTGGAATTCGTAGGGGAAACTTCGAAATGCAGTTCAAGAACCTTTCTGCATTTTCGCCACTTTTCCCTGTAGCTGGTAAAAGTAATTATACAAAATCTGTAACGCATTTTTTGTCTTACATTGAAGATGACCCATTGCTTAAAGAATTACTTCACCATGTGTGCTCGGTTAACTTAACACGTCCCGGTCATTATTTCGCATTTGACGAAGCCCTGGAACGATTCGGGGTAAAATTTGTCAAACAAAACATTAATGGAAAATCTATAGATAGTGAAGGTCTAAAACAACAAATAGCTTCTGTTCAAGCTGAAAGAGATCGGTTATCTTTATTAATCTCAGAATATGTAGGGGATACGATTGTTATTAAAGAGGATCGTGCAATTAATCAACATACGGAAGAGTTGTGGAAATTGGTTTCAGAATTGCTAGTTATTTTTTCTTCAGAGGAACCTAAAATAAATATATTTAAGTATGTTAAAGAATTGAATGAGGTTGGATATCAAAGATTATTTTCTTGTTACAATATTGGTATCTCACGACTTAATGATATTTTAAATCAAGATGTTTATAAGACTGAATCAAAAAATGTGAAAGGTCGTCGTGCTCGTAATATCACTACATATAAATTTGAAAGTCTTCAATCAACAATATTAATGAATAATGACAATAACGATAAAGAAAAAAAAAAAAGAATTCGAAATCAAGGCAATACAAATAATTTACATACTGAATTAGATACAACAAACTTAGAAACTCATCTTGTGAAGCGTCGACGTCGAACTACTAAACAAGAAAAACAAATTCTTGAAGCGATTCTGAACAGTGATAGTTACTCTGAAGATAAAGCTTTAGAAACTTTACAGCAACTTATGGATCAAGAAGAAGGAGAATGGACATTGCCACGTATACGAGTATATTGGAACAACCATCATAAGAAAAATTCGATAATAAATAATACCAATAATAATAATGACAGTGCTATATATTGAAATTCGGGAAGAAATAAAGATGTTAAATGTGTTCAATATTTTATGAATTCCACAGATCCTAAATATACTAATTGAACATTTATAGTTGGATACCATTATCAATATAGAGCTAGTGTTATTAGAAATAAACGAAAAGCCTTTGAATATTATTTAAAAGCTTTTGAATCAGGTCACACTAAAGGAACATTAAATGTTGGTTACTGTTATAGGCATAGAGTCAGAGTGAAAATAAAACAATAAAAAAATTAAAAAAATATTAAAAAGATAGGTCGAAAGTGAATTTTCAGTTGTATAGCAAGCAACATGGGAGAACCGAAATGTTGCTCTGAAAATTTTATTTATCGTGATTTGAATAGCAATAGAGAATTATTTTATAGAGTTATGCTATACTTGTATCTGAAGCTTACAAGGAAAATTATCGTTATATATACAAGTATCTGACATATATAGTCTTAGTTTTATTATGACAGAAATATTAACTTGGCTAAGAGTGTTTAATAGTGATAGATATAATTTTGATTCAACCAGAGATTGCTTCAGAAACGACCAAATGTTGTATATAATTAGCCAAACTATCACATAGATTCAGATCCGTAGAAATAACCAAATACCAATGATAGATAAAATACATTAATAATTCTAATGAAACATATACAAGAAGTCTTAGCTAGGGATGGCAACGGTTACGATCGGCTACAATTTTCATAGTCGATTTTCTAGAAATTGAGATGATTTTTTATTTTTGAGTATTTAATTAAAGTTGTTCAGAATTATATACTGTACATCCCATATTATAAGTAGGAAGAACGATACCTTCTCTGGAACTCGGAATTTCAAAATTTGTTAAATCATAACCGGTTATTAACCGCTAGCTAATAACCGGTTATAAATTAACAAATTTTGAAATTCCGAGTTCCAGAGAAGGTATCGTTCTTTCTACTTATAATATGGGATGTACAGTATATAATTCTAAACAACTTTAATTAAACACTCAAAATAAAAAATCATCTCAATTTCTAGAAAATCGACTATGAAAATCGTAGCTGATTGTAACTGTTGCCATCCCTAGTCCTAGCATTACCTACTATCGAGAGTGCAATCATGATTGACCTAATTTTTCAGAAGTCTTTCTTTATTTTTGTTTTATTTTTTTCCTCAATTATTTCTTTATTATTAATAAAAATAAAATAAGATTTAAACAAAAATTATCAACAAACTTTTTTATTTTTTATAAAAATTACTTTTATTTATTGCACATGATAGTGCTTTCAACCAATAAAAATCTTTTCTGTAAAGAAACTTTTTGGTTAACTAAACTGACAAAAATAAAATAATTATTTGTTTAAATAAATATAATAAACTTATATTTAGTATTATAGCCTTTTATCTATAATTTTATTTAATTTTATTTAATTTTTTTGTTATAAATAGCTTAGACTTATTGAAATTCTATTTATTACATTTAGTATAATGCAGATCATTTGACATTTCACTTGACCGATATCAAAATTCATGCACATATATGCGTACAGGTTTCATACAGAAAGTATCACCGTAATACAAAGCAAGATGCAATTAACAGTGTTTTTTACTATTTCTGTACGTTTTTTGTGGCTAAGACCAAGCAAAGCAATGTATCACAACACAAAGTTTTCATTTATATATCATCATCTGCGATTAACATTGGATCAAAGAGTTTTCTCTTGTATTTTTTTTTTGTTTAATAACGACCTTTCATAAAAATACGCAGAAATTTGCCTCAAATTACTGAAAGGTCTAATTATCAAAATGGATCACGGTGACCATGGAAATGGAAGTAATAATTTTAGATGCTCAATGAAAGTAAGGTTATCTAAATTTATTATGAATTGACGACAATTATATCAACTGAATCGAAGTAATTTATTTGAATTAGATGCTTTTCAATTGGGATACTACAAACCTCTGTATCGTATTTTCTTGGTGGAAAGTAGATGGAATTCTACTCCTGCTTTTATCTTGTTTCTTTGTTGCTTTAATTGGAGTTGCTTATGAGGCTTTAAGAAACCTAGCAAGAAAATATGATGAAAAAATATGCGAAGCAAGTTATCTCCAAATTAATGGTGCTGAGGAAGATAATCCACCTGTCGTTAGAGTGAAACGTATTGTCAGGTAACACTACTCATTAAAAAAAATTTTGAATTAACTTCATATATACTTAACTACCTTATTATCATATATCGCACACAGATTGACCCGAGCACAACAATTAATCCGATCTTTCATTTACGCAATCCAAGTGTTCATATCTTTTTTTATCATGTTAATATTCATGACATATAATGGTTTTCTTATGATCAGCATAGTTGTTGGTACAGCAGTTGGCTTCTTTTTTTTCGGTAAACAAACTGTTTCAAGTTTGGAAGAGGATGATAGAATTATAAATTGTCATTAACCATATTTTTTAATATCATTTGAATTTTTATATTCGTCTAATAAGGAATTTTATTTTCTTGATATAATGATGATCCTTACAATATGTATTAATTATTATTTTGAAATTAATTTAAAAATGTTTATCATTTTCAACTTTGGTGAATCTTTACAATCGAAATGATATTTCTATATTTGTTATATGAAATTTGGTGGTGTGTGCTATACTATATTTGATTTGACTATCGTAAACTTTTGTCGTCCTTTCTCATGTTCGAAATTCGCTAATTGCTCATCATCACAGTTCACCAACAGCGCTAGGACATATGATTGATTCATATATATACATAATAGATCCGACCAAGTATAATTAAAACCCCCCAAAAAAACGGTTGCTTTGAAAAAAATTTGCATTATTCGAACCCAGTTATATTAATGAGTCCTTCAGTATAAGAGTGGCATTTAACAAATTGGGTGGTGAAAATAACAATTCCTAAATCTATTTTATCATTACCAATAACAATTCCTTAATCTATTTTATCATTATCAATATCAACACCTTTACCCGTCATCTTTAATATAACTGCACCACCTGTCCACTTTGGTTCCTGAATTTCTTTAGAATAATCTTTCAACTCATTTAATATCTTATCCATAATAGTCCTATCCAATGTTCTTTTCTTTTTCTGTACTCCTCTATTCGAAATAACAATTTCTACTTTATATCCTTTAATTAACCATGATTTAGCCCTACCAACCTTATGCATTAAATCGTGTTCATCAACTTTCCATGTCATTTGCAATTCTTTTGTAACTAAAGTATTTTGTTGTTGATGCTTTTTCCCTTTTTCATATACTAATTTTTTTTCAACAAGTTTACATATTGGTGGATTTTCGTTGCTTTCTACTTCAACTAACCAATATTTTTCTCGATCAATTGTTGTTAAAAGCTTTTTTAATGATATAATACCTTGAAGTTTTCCATCTTGATTTACGAATTTTACATAAGCATGATTATAATTATCTGATGATTCTATTTTACGTAATGAAGAAAGACGACTTCGAAAATCGGAAAATAATGATTGATGAAACCCCTGACGAAATGATGAAACGTTGAGGAAAGTTGAATGAATAATGAAATTCCTGACGAAAGGTCGAAATACGAGACCTCTGGAGAATGTCGAATTCTCTGAAGTCCTATTAAAAGTTGAAACCCTAATAAAGATAAAAGGTTGAGCTATGGTTGGTAGTCGAACCCATTTTTCCATTATATATAAAAGTCAAAACAAAAAAAAACCCGTTGAAGGCTAATTGAAAAAAAAAATAGTTTTGTATTCTTTGATTTAAAAAAAAAAAATATCCATAAAATTTAATTGGCTGCTTATCTTTGATAACCTATCGGCACCTAAAAAAATTTCAAGATCATGTGATCCCACCAATCAGGATTAGTGATAGTCGTAAATTACTGTGCCCATCATATGGGCAATGGACTAGGAAAACCCGTCTTTGACACTTTTGCAACAATTTTGAGATTTTTGATTCAAATTAAAGTGCTGGTTTCTATCCTACGTTGATATAATAAATTATCGAGATTTTTCAATTCGAAAAAAACAATTCTTCGAAAATTTCATATTCTAAAAATAGATTGACGATCAAAGATCATCCAATCAAAAGTGACAATTAGATCATCAATAAATTACGACCGTATCTATTAAGGGTAGATAGGTTTGGGACGAATTTGTATATGAAACTTAAGCAAACAAGGTTTATTTTCTTTATTAAAGAATTACAAGCGAAAGCCTGATTAGTTTTCTTTCTCTTTACACATATTTATATCGCATTTTACAATACAATTACTGAACTATGACTACAACTTGAACGTATGGTCGTTACGCTTTCTAATGACTAATGCTAACGCGATTCTGACCTTACATCACGTTCACGTGATGTACATTTCTTTTATGAGTCTCCGATACGATCGTTGCATGAACTTCCAGCACGTTCGTTATGTGACATGTGCATTGTACAACGTGGTTCAATAGTTCCCTTACACTCTCCCTCATTTAAAACAGTTTCACCACGTTTTTCAAAATCTTTTACCAAGTCTTTATATTTTTCAAGATTCTTCAGAGGTTTCCAGGTCACGTCATACAACAGGTGCCTTTTCCATTTTACCAAGTATTGTGAACAGCAATAATAAGTTCTTTTGTTTAGTATTGCTTCAACTTCAGATTCTTTTGGGTTTTCAGTTGTAATTGTTGGAGTTAGTTCAGTATTTTCTTTGTCTTTGAATTCACTGGAATGGTATAGTTTTAGTAAGAATATATGGAAAACAGAGTAGATATGAAAGGTTTCGAGGAGTTTTAATCTATATGTTGTTGTTAATATTTTCTTATTAATTTCAAAAGGTCTTATGAATTTTGAGATAAGTTTCTTTGATTGTCTTTTTGCATTTTTTTAAGGAATTATGTTTGTTGAGTCTAGTAATACTAATTCTTCTTCTTCTAGTTCTAGATAACATCATCTTTTGTTGGTTTGATTGCTTTGTTTCTCTTGAGCGTTTACTAATAAATCTTTTGCTATATTTATTATTTCAGTTTAATGTTTAAGCAATTTCTGTATAGCTTTTACGTTTATTGGATTTATCTTTTCATTTATCAAACTTAATAGTGTTCTTAGATAATATCTATTATCTAGTTGGAATAGTATGTATTTCATAGATTTTTGTAACAAATTGTTGTAAGAGAATTCTGTAGCAGGTAGATATTTTCTTAGTTTTTTTGTTTGTAATTCACATAAATACACAAGACTTCTTTGAAAATTCTGTTTATATGTTCTGTTTGTCTATTAGTCTGTAAATATGCTGATGTTGATATTTTTAATTCTGTTCTCATTATTTTAAAAAGGCTTTTCTAAAATTTACTAGTGAATTTTAGGTTTCTATCAAAAATTATTAAACAAAGTAAACTATGATGTTTAAAAATTTCCTTGAAGAAGACTTGAGTGACTTTTGCTACTGTTATAGAGCTTCTAGTAGGTATAAAATGAGCTTTTTTGCTTAATTTGTCTATTACTACTATTATTGAATTATTCTTATTTCTTGTTTATAGTAGATATATTATAAAATCTATCATTACTATTTCCTATAATTGTGATAGGATTTTTAAGAGTTGTAATAATCTTGCTAAAGCTTGTGTAAAGTTTTTGTTTCTTTGACAACTATTATATTATCTTACATATTTCTTTACATCTTTATTTATTCCTTTCTAATAATAATTTCATCTTAATTTTTCATAGGTTTTCTCTAATTTGAAGTATCTATTTAAGTCATGGCTTTCTTTTAGTAATATATTTACACCTCTCTAAGTGTATGCCATCAGGACCATAGTAAAAAAAAATCAAAATTTTGCACTTATAGAGAATAAAATATATAAAGTTCTTATAAGTTGAGGCTAATTTATACCTTGCATTTAGAGAGGTTTTACATAGTATTTGCACTTAGGGGGTATGTACTTAGGGAGATGTGACTATAGTCTTTATTTTTTAGATTCTTTTACTATACATAGTCTTGGTTCTTTTATTCCTTTTCTAATAATAATAAACTATTTTCTTTTAATTCAAATCTGATTATCTGTTTCTCTAACCTTTTTGCTTCTTCACTTTTAGAGTTTTCTAATACTTTCAAGATTCTTTTAAGATAAGTATTTTCTTTGTATTCTTCTTTTATTCTTTTATATATATTTTCTTTAATACTAACTTTTGTTATTATATTTGCTTTAGATTTTCTTAAGAGTGTATTTGCTATTACATTATTTTTCTTAGACTTTATTTAATGGTGAAGTTGTATATTTAGAGAGTTTTAACTCATTAAGCTTGTCTTTGTGATAGCTTTGCTTAGGATTGTAGGTATTTTAATAATTCTTAGTTAGTTATAACTTGAAAGATATTTCCTTCTAAATATACATATTAGATTTTTAGTATGTAGATAATTACTAGAAGTTCTTTTTCATGAATTAAGTAATTTAGTTCTGTGAGAATTAATTTTCTTGATTCATTTGCTATTAGTTGTTCTTCTAAGCTTTAGTCTTGGCATAAAACTACATCAATTATAACATTTGAAGTATCTGTAGTAAGTATTGTTATCAAATAAGTTTTAATAATTTTATCTTTATTTTATATTTATTAATTAGTTATTCTTTATTTGTATCTTATGAATTATCTTATAAGTTAGCAATATCTTTAACTAGCATTATTAGAATCAGAATAGTCTTATGATTATAATAAGCTATAATTTGTAAGAATTAGATTTATAGTTATAGAGTTATTAGTATTTAGAAATCTCTATTGATATTTAACTACACTTAACTATACTTAAAGATATTTGATGACTTTGATGATGTTTGATAATATTTTTTTTTTTTTTTTTTTTTACTTTATACAAATGCCATCGGCTAAATTTTTTATTGGTATTGATAGTGAGTAAATGATACATATTATGAGAGTACAACTAGCTACACGTACAACTTTAGATTGTCTAATTTAAGTAGTCCACTCGAAGGTTCTACACTAGCTGCTATATCTGAAATCTATTTGAAGATTATCTATTTAAACTCTCTGGCCCTATGACACTTACTCGTATTCTATCCTTGTTTTACCAAATTCACCTAACCTTATGCTACTTCTCCCGGAAGATACCCAAGCTGACATTAGTCTACAAACTTTATGGTTCGGAGCCTAGACCCTATCACAAGGTGTCCCTTCACTAACTCTCTAACCGATAGGATGCTGTGGTACCCAACTATGCTATGCTATATCCCAATCTAGCTTGCATATATTTGATAATATTTGAAAATGTTTAACTACATTTGAAGATGTTTAACTACATTTGAAAATATTTAGGAAAAAGATAAATAAACTCTGCCTTTTCCTTTTTCTGTTAAAGTTAGGTTTGTCTTCTATAATCTCCTTAATATTGAAATTCTCTTAGCACAGATATTAATAGATAGTCTTGTATTATTATTATTATTATTATTATTATTTTTTTTTTTTTTTTTTTTTTTTTTTTTTTACTTTATACAAATGCTATTGGCTAAATTTTATTAATTTTATAAATTTTAGAAGTAATACATATTGTAAGAGTACAACTAGCCACATGTATAATTTTAGATTGTCTATTTTAAGTAGTCTGCCTAAAGGTTCTATACTAGCTGCTATATCTGAAATCTCTTAGAAGATTTCCTATTTAAACTCTCTAGCTCTATCTCATTTACTACAAATATTATTTTTATAGTTAACTATAACTCTGTGCTACTCTATTTTGAAAAGCATTCAAGCTAACATTAGTTGTAAACTTTATTATTATGGGCCTTAGGTCTTACTCAAATAAGTCTCAACTTCAATACTTCCTAACAGATAGATATTATGATACCTAATTATGCTATACTATATCCTAATCTAGCTTGCATATACTCTTATTTGATATTCATATAAACTCAGTTCCAGCTGTAGCCTTCTACCAGTTTAGACTTCTGTATCCTTCCGAATATTTCACAAAGTAAATTCTTCTAATCTAGTTAGCTGCTAAGCTAAGTTGATATTGTCATAACATCTAATATTATAGACTTACTCATACCTACTCGATCTGCATTTTCATATTTAGAAATCTTTATCAGATCAAGCATTAACTAGTATGACTATTGAAATCTGTACTACTTTATCTAACTTGGGATTTCTACTATGCAGGTCCTCTGCCTATAGATTCTATCTCAATTTATTTTATGTAATGCAACTCCAACATTTTATCATACTTCTAATATCTGAACAACATTAGTACAACATGATTTATAGGATTATATTCCTAGAAACAAACAGAGTTTACTGTAAGTTAGATACAGATGTCTAGATAATTATTCAATTCTGTTGACAGTAGGATTTGAACTCTAAACCTCTTGTATAGCAGTTCGACAACTTATCCACTATACTAGATCACTAGATCTTGTCTTATATTATTAATATTGTATTGTAAATAAAGAATACTCTTTGCTTTAATATAATCTTTCTAACAAATCACTTTTGTAAAGTAATATTTCACTTTGACACTGTTAAGAGTTTTTCTTCGTGTCTTATGTTACTTATGATAAACTAAGAAGACTATACTACTTGTAATATTTTGATACCTTCTGGCAAAAAACAAAAGAAACTTTTTAAATATTTAGGATTTCTAAAGAAAGAAAACCCTAAAGAACTTTTAACTAAGAAGCCCTTAAAAAACCTTTCTTGTAAAACAAAGAAGCTTTTCTCTTTCTCTTCTGATAATCTCTAAGAAGCCTCTCTTTTCTCTTTGCTGATCACTATCTATATCATACTTGATCTATATTATATAGATACTGAAAAGAATCATTAACTTCTAGAATTAATCTATATAGTACGAAAATATGAAAAATGACTTATATTATTTCAAGTCTAAAAAGACTAAGTTTATATTACATGAACTTTAAAAAATTATATTTAGACTTAGAAGACTCTTTATTTATAACTACCAATTATCAAAAGAGTAATAGTATATCAGAAAACAACTTTACTAAACAGACTTAGTAGGAAGGGTCACTTTTAAGTCTCTGCATTAGTTGTAATTCTAGGGTTAGATCCTTTAATCTTAGATATTTTTAGGTTAGACCTCCACACTTTGAAGAGTACCTCATGAGCTAAATTAGGTAGACATAAGGACTCAACTATAGCTAGTAGTTTACTATGAACCTTAACAATACTAGTTAAGCACAAATTATCTATAAGCCAAATATGTAGATGTAAGTAATTCTAACCCTTCAGAAACAGATTATATATTTTAGAAACAGATATTCTATGATCCAAACATGTAGAAGTAAGGTATTTTTTGACAAGAACCTATATGAATAAAGTATACTAGTTGCATATAAAACAAATCTAACAACACAATCTATAATACTAGGATACTAGTTAAGTTCATAAAGTTATACAAACCTTATATCTAGACTTATCTTGTAAACTATACTTTCTTATAACAAACCTTCATCGATCATACTAAGAATTCTAGATCTAGTACTATCATATCTACAAAGCTATCAAATATACTCAACAAACTATTACTACTTATATAACTCTAACTATTAACCTAACCTATAACTAAGCTAGAGCTACAGTATGTAACCTTATATTTAGTTGCTGATATAGCATACTTCTTGAAAACTCTAAACAAATTATTCAAACTCTCTTTACCAAATATACTTGATACTCTCTTGTTCTCTATCTACTTATTTCTTTTAATATCACTTTCTTCAACTACTTTCTTGAATAATAAAATAACTCAGTTGCTAATAACCCTTTCTTTATCTGAAGCCTTTAAACTACTTTAGAAAATTTAAGATCCTCTATAATTAATCTAGATAATATCTCTTTTGAATTTAGTATCCAAGTACAAGATAGTTTAAGTCAAAGCTTAGAACCAGAAAATATAATTATAGAACCTAACATACTATATCTCTACTTTCTTATAATAAAAATACTATCTACATTAACTTTCTTTTATGAAAAAGAAATAAAACTCCCTTACCTCCTTTCACTACTATATCTTTTCTACCTTCTATTAAAACCTCTAATATATAAATAGTACAAGAAACCTCTTATCATTATATATTTAACCTTGCTACTACAGGAATTATCTAGCAAGCTCAATGATTTACTAACTTTATTGCTAAAACTATTTCTTTTTCTAATTTAATAAATAATACTTTAAATCTACCTAAAAACTATCCTCAATCTAATCTTTCTCCTGAAAACTTTTTTTACTATACTCCTTCTTATATTCTACCTTCTCAACAATAACTTTTTCTTCTTCTAACTACTACTCTTCAAATCC